GGCCGCGGCCGCCTCGTCGGGGCAGCGCGCGGGCGGCTACGCGCTCGGCGACTACGGCGCGGCCGCCAACGCGGGCTACCTGTGGGGCATGAACAGCCCCCCCGCCTACCTGCAGGGCCCCCCCGGCGCCGCCGCCGCCACCTTCCTGCCGCCGGGCTCGTACGGCTGCGCGCGGGGCGGGCAGCTCGTGGGGTCCCCCCCCGCGCCCGGGTCGCCGTCGTCGGGCGGCGCCGAGCTGAGCTGGCTGAGCCTGGCGAGCCAGGAGGAGCTGCTGAAGCTGGTGCGGCCGCCCTACTCCTACTCGGCGCTCATCGCCATGGCCATCCAGAGCGCGCCCGAGCGCAAGCTCACGCTCAGCCACATCTACCAGTACGTGGCCGAGAACTTCCCCTTCTACAAGCGCAGCAAGGCGGGCTGGCAGAACTCCATCCGCCACAACCTCAGCCTCAACGACTGCTTCCGCAAGGTGCCCCGCGACGAGGATGACCCTGGTGAGCGAGACGCGGCGGGACGCYGTGGGTGGGAGAGGCGACACGTTGGGCGCTCTTGGCCCTCTTCTCTGTGGGCAGCGGGGACAGGGAGGCTGGGGAGGTGACGGTCTGAGGTTCCTCGTGGGCCTCATGGGGCCAGGCACCATGGGGCTGTGCGTAGGGACAGCCGGTGTCACAGCCAGTGTCACAGCTGTCCAGCTCACCATTGATCGGGGGCACTGGGCTGCTCTTTTCCATCATCCCGAATGTGGATGTGTCCTGTGCTTTGCACGTGCGCCTTATTGTTGGTGCTCCCCTTGGGAGGGTCACGCGGACACCTCCATCACCTGTGTCATGGACAGGACAGGTGGCAGTAACATGGGAAGAGCAAGGGGAGCCTCCAGGCACATCCAAAGTGCCTCTGGGAGGTTTCAACTCTGTGGTGGGAGGTTTTCCTCCATAGATCCAGCCTTAGATCCATCACGATGTGGAGGCTGATGGTGTCTAAAGTCTGGCTTTGGATTCCTCTCCTGGGAGGGCTGTAGGAGAGCTGTGGGTGCTGCACCGGTGCTGGTCAAGGTGCCCTCAAGCGCTTCCGAGTGGGGACAGGCTTCGGTCAAGGGACGGATGCCGCTTACCCAGGCCGCAGCAGGGCTCACCACCGCAGCCATTGACTTTCTCTCTCCTCACATCCATTTTCCACCAGGGAAGGGAAACTACTGGACCTTAGACCCCAACTGCGAGAAGATGTTTGACAACGGGAACTTCCGCCGCAAGCGCAAGCGGCGCTCGGAGCCCAACGCGCCCGCTCCCGCGGCCTCCTCCCTCGGCGGCCTCAAGGCCGAGGAGGAGCGGCCCATGGCGGGCAAGCCGTGCGGGAGCAGCCCGCCGCCCGAGCTGGAGCCGTCGCCCTCGGCCAGGGACCACCCCAAGACCTCCTCTCCCTCTGGCATCATTTCATCGACGCCCAGCTGCCTCAGCACCTTCTTCAGCGGCATGAGCTCCCTGAGCRGCGGGGGCGGCCGCCTGGCTGCGGGGCTGCCCGGGGACCTGCACCACAGGAACTTCTCCGCGGGGCAGCTGGGCAGCGGCACCTTCAGCGCTTCCAGTGCCTCTTCCCAGGAGGTGCCCTCGCCCGAGCAGCTGCAGCGCGTGCCGGGACCTTCGCCCGCCTACTACAGCTCCTTCCACCCCAGCAGCAGCAGCCAGGGAGCCCAGTACAACCACTACTACAACTTCACCGTTAACAGCCTCATCTACACCCGGGACGGCACGGAGGTGTAGGGCACGCGGCGGCCGTTGGTGCCGCCAAGGGAACGGGAGATGCGGGCGGATCCGGCAGCGCGGAGGAGCCGGTCCTTTCCAGCCAGCATTTCGACAGAGACGCTTCCCAGGAGTTCTTCCAAGAAGATAGATCTTCCTCAGCTTTTGCAAGGAAAATGCCCCAGGAACACCAGCAGAAGGCAGATGCAAAGTCCCTTCTCCCCATCCTGGAAAATTTGAGGTGTTTTGCCATTTTGCTGTGGACAAAAGTGAACTGAATGAGTGATGCCAAGAGGTTTTCAGTCCTGAATGTAGAATAAGAGTTTCGAAAAAATATAGCCGTAAAGTGGCAGCAGCAACAGCCGAGTGTAGACACCCAGTGAGTCTTAGAGGAGAGCAGGAAAATAAAAAATGAAGAGATTTCTTATGAAGTGCCTTGTACAATGTAGTAAAAAAAATGAAAAAAAAAATATTCTGCCAGCAATTGCCTCTGTAAGTCCTTGCTTTCTGCCCTGGTCTTGCAATATGCCCTGCATGGGTAGGCACTGGGTAAATACCCGTCCCAGATCTCCTTGGAGCCTTGTGATCTCCCTGTGCAGGGCATATTGTGCAAGCGGGGCCACGGTTTGTAAAACAATCTTTTTTTTTTTTTTCCCCTTGAGCTTAGTACCAAAGATACCACTCTAGCCATGCAGCTTTAGCAAGAGAATGAGCAGCTGGGTATTTTTATACATATTTGTATGTAATGTAACTCTCCTGTAAATATGTTTCTATGTGGTTTTATATTTGTAAATTATGCTCTGGAGCTGTTCTTATTTATAATGTGTTTAAACTTTGGTAAAGTTTATTTTACTTTGTTTCCACTTCTTTTTTGTTGTTGCTGATTTTTGTTTGKTTGGTTTTTTTTGTTAGTGTATTAATGAAACTCTTCAGGTTGAACAGCAACTGTTGGGAATAAAATGTTAACAATTGCTAGATTTTTTGCCTGCTTGTTCCTCCGTAAATTTGAGGCAATTTGTAGCTGTCTGGGAGACAAGGTTTTGCTTTCATGTTTTTTGGAGAAAAGGTGATTTGTGAACAATTTCATCCCTGCAGAAAGGTAGAGAAAAACCTGCACTCCATCCGAAGGAGAGGCAGGGAGCTGGTTTGCAGCCTCCTGTGGTCTCCCTATGCAGAGTGGACACCAGAGGCTTTCCTCTTTGGTTGCTTTTGCTGATCATCTGAATTGCAACCATCCTTTTTCATTTTTTTTTAATATTATTATTATTTTCTTTCTGGTTTAGYCAAAATAATAGAAGTTTGCAAAAGTATAAGTAGCAGGGCTGGCTGCAACTTGGTGCTAGCTGGCAGAGCGCGTGGAGCCTGAGTGTGGCTGCATTGGCATGATCCATTTTGCAATTTTTTAAAATTACCTTTTTTTTGCATATGATTGCACCTGTTTAAAAATGCAGGCTCATCCAGAATAAATTTTAAAAATAATGATAAGATATATATATATATATTTTTTTTTTTTGCATATGATTGCACCTGCTTAAACATGCAGACTCATGCAGAAGTGGGACCCCCATCTAGTGGGGCCATGATGAGCTGTGAACAGGCCCTTGAGCAGCCTCCCTGATTCACGCTGCTGTGGAAGGAGGAGCCCTCCTGCAATACCCATTATGCAAAACAATAAACTCCCAATTCTTGCAGTTTGCATAAGCCGCTGGCTGGCTTCTGCGTTTAGCCATATATAAAAATGACTTCTAGAGGAATGTAGCACTAATAAGGGAGTTAAGCATGAAATTGCTGCTGTTTAACATAGGTGCATCAGACTTAATGCAAGGCCGTCCCTGCAGGCTATCCGAAAGCGTCTCCTTGGCAGCGCGTTCCAGCACCTCGCTGGCTACCTGCTTAACATACCTGGTGGTGATGCAAGACAAACCACCAGCCCGATCTGAAATATAATGGAGTATGACGAAGTGTCAGATGATTTCCACGTGCTCAGGATCAGGACCAAGTGCTTTCCCCAGCGCTGGCCCAATACAATCTCTGGGTGGGTGGCAGCTCTTTGGGACCACCTAAGCCCAGTCTTGCTCACCCCTTCCCAGCGTGGATCTGGTTTCCCTGCCTTTTGGGCTCATTTCCTCASGTCTGCTTGCTTTGCAGGTGGTGCAGCGGTAGGGACGAGGGGAGAGAAAGGAGAGATTGCCCTGAGCAAGAAAGCAAGGCGTTGGGTCTTGCCCTGCTTGGGCTCAGTCATGCAAGCCAAATAGCTTGTTTTATTTGGGCTTTGGACTGCTGAGTTTGATCTAGAGGAAGTGTAGGGATTCTCACTGCSTTAAAAAGATTTCAAATAGTTCCTTGGAGAAGTGGAGAACTGCTCCCTTGTGCTCCTAAGGGACTGTTGCCACAATTCCCTGCTCCACCTGCCTGCTGTCAAACSTTACCAAATAGTGGGGCCACAGTGGGGATTTTTGTGTTTCCATCCAATATTCTTTTGCCCACGAGACTGGTTCAGGATTTTTGCTGTGCTGCTTCTTTCAGCTATCTGCTTTTGCAAAGCATGCCCATAAGTGCTTCCTTCTAAGATCCCAAATCTTCAGTATTCCCTGGAATGCCTCTGCAAGCCTGTGCTCAGCAAACACCCCATGGCTTCTCCTACCATGGCACGGCCAGAASAGGCTGAGCAGGGCCAAGAGGAATCGCCCACCACAGGCATTTGTCCCCGTCCTCTCTCCTGGGGGACGGCTGGGCAGGTCTACCTGTCCCCACTGCACCTCTCCTGCCCTTAATCCCAAATCCTGCTCCCTCCAGGGAAAGTGAGTGACTAAACTGGAGTCAGGGACTCCGGGCCCTCCTGGGGACACACATGGGTGCAAAGGCCGGCATGCCCATGCTAAAGTGACCTGCCCAGGGGACACCTGATAGCAGCATTCAGCAAATAGACACCCAGTCTGCGGAGAGGAGCCGAGRGGGCCAGTTAATGGCAGCCTTTTAGGTTTCCTTTTGTCATTCAAAGGGCTTCTTCTTATAGGAACGCCCAAGTCCTAGGAGAGGGAAGGCAGGAGCACTGCGCTTAATGAAAGGCACTTAAAAGCAGCAGAGTTTTTGTCATGTCCCTGAGCCGAGGGAGGAAGGTGACAAAGGCAATTAGCCCCCTGGTCCCACCCTGAGAGCCTCCCGGCCTCTAGATGCCAAGGCCATGCATGGGCTGGCGGTTCCCCATGACAATGAGCCGGTCCCAGCCTGGCCAGGCCGGAGAGGGGGTTTACAGCAGCCCCCAGGGCAGAGCCTCTTCCCAGGGAAGTCACCAGGGAAGGTCTCTGGGAGAGGCCCAGACTTCAAGCTCCTCCATCCTCTCTGCTTCAGGAGCTGCAGGAATTGCCCCTTAAAATGACTCCGTCTGGCCTTGAGGGAGCGGTGGCCTCTCCGGGAATGGCTGTCAGTCCCCAAATCCCCCATGTCTGGAAGCCAAGCTAAGGCCCAGGAAGGCACATCCTTGCCAGGCACTGCTGGCGCTGCCAGGGCTAGTGCAGCACAGCCACGCTTGGTACGAAGTCATGGCCCCGCTCGGGACTGCAAGGACAACTGGCTGCTCCCTGCGGACCTTGTCCCCTCCCGGACTCCCCACACGGCTCCTACATTGGGGCGCTGCAAATGCAGCCACCGCAAAGGCAGCGCCCAGCTGGAAAGCAGGGCTGAGACATGCGGGGTGAGGAGCAGAGACGCTGCCCCGTGCGGCGTCTCCGCGGCGCAGGGTCGTTGGGCCGCGCTCAGTCAGCGCCGGCCTTGTCGACGTGCCCGCGGAGGCCGGGGCAGGCCCTGCCGCAGGCCGCGCTCGCCCGGCCCCGCGCCACAAGGGTTTTGTCGGCACAGCTGGAGCAGCCCAGGCCCCTAAGGAGACCCAGCTCCTACCAACAAACGCAGCTCGGGTGCCAGGGCTGTTAATCCCCCAGCTCCGCCGCGGCGAGCCCCTTCGCGGGCGCTCCGAGGGGATTCGGCTCCGTGATGGGTTTCATCGCCTGCCAGTTCTTCTGGAGGGAGCATCTCGATTGCTGCCACCGGCCACGGGCTCGTGTTGGCATCTCCTCTGAGGAACGAGCCATTAGATCTACCCTGTTGCCCCATGTAAGCCGTTCATGGCACACTGTGCCTATGCACAAGATTTTATTGCCTGTGTTATATTCTTTTTTTTTTCCCCATAATCTTTAGGATTAAAGAGGCAGCGGTAGGTCTAGTCAGAGAAACTGCTCTGCTGCTACCTTGACCTTGCCCTCCCTATATTTCTAGCAACAGCAAATCCTTGCCAAGCTTCGCTAGGGAGAGCGCCAACAAACCTGCAGATTTCATTTGACTTTGGGGTAAGATGCTCATTTGTGGGAGTCAGTCCTGTTGCTTTGGTTCTGATACCTCAGAAAGTGGTGAAAAGGGCAAAGGTTCATGTTGACCCAAGAGAGGCACAGTGAGAATCAGACTTCTCTGGTGGTAACACAGGTGATTGATGCATCAGCTAGAAATAGTTTTGCTGAATGGAAAATACAGTTGCTGTGAAATTATTGTTTCTCCATAGGCTTTGGAAACAAAAAATATCCTGTTAGAAAATCCCTCTGAAACAGATTTTTGTTCCTTTTTTTTTCTTTTTCTCCGTTGAAAGAAGAAAACCAACGGATTCATCTTTTCTTTTCCCTTCATTTTGGCAGGCGTCTCCACCAAGCTGAACTCCCCCTTCTCAAATGTTTTCTGTTAAAAAGCAGTTTGAGGGAATGTTTTTGACCAAATTAGCAAGCATGATATTCACCTGGGTAAGGTGACGAGAATATGCCCCTCGAGGAATAACTGAAGCATAATGTAAAACATCAAAGGTGTTGTTTCTTTTTTTTTTTTTTTAACCTTATACCTGTGCTATCTCTGAATCATATCAAATAATCTTCTCGTTTCATAACACCGTACAATGCAGGCTAAGACTGTATGTGATCTGCTTTGTGTGTTCCTGAATGGATGATTAAACAGTCTAACCCGAGGGATGTTCATGCAGGGCC